CGCACACGCGTGAGCAGGCAGAGAAGGAGAGGAGATGAAGCAGTGACCCGGGGAAGGCCCAGAGCACTTACCCCGCACGCTGAGGGCAAAGTGCTTCTCGGCAGAGCCGGCTGGGTTCTCTGCCGCACACGTGTAGTTGCCCTCATCGTTCACCTCCACCGCAATCACCTGCGAAGGAGAAGCAGAGCCCTGCTGAAGTCCACAGGGCTCCACACGCTCAGCCGCGGGGAGAAGGTGCCCTTCCTTCTGCTCAGCATCTCCCGTAATCCCCCGGCCCAGGGAGAAGCTGACCTGCAGCACCTCCCCATCCGTGCCGTGGGCCAGCCACAACGGGGACATCATTCCAGAGCCAGGAAACTGCAGGCGCCGGGTTCCCCGTGGCTTCACACTTGAGGTGGAGGGTGCTGTTGGCTGTGATGGTCACCTCCTCCACATGGTCCTCCATGCTCCCATGGATGATGGGGGCAGCTGGGCCGAGGCGTCAAGAAGCAGAAAGTTATAGAGATCCCACCTGAGACCACTACAGCTGGTGCTCACGCAGGGCACTTGCCCCATACTCACTGAGCACCTCCAGCTCGTAGTGCATCCGGTCCTCCCCGGCGTCGTTGGTTGCCTCGCACGTGTACCTGCCCGCATCCTCCTCCCGCACAGCGGGCAGCTGCAGCACCCGGCCCCCTGTGTGCAGGGCAGGGGGGTTCCCACCATGGGAGCCGTGGGGCAGAGGCCTTGGAGAGCAGTGCGCACCCCACACGCCATGCAGAGCCACTTGTGCAGCCCTGGTCACAGCATCCTGCTGTGCCACACGTGCCAGTAGGACCTTGGGAGCAGCATCCATCCCCACCATGCATTATGGATGCTCTACCATACTGCTCCAGAAAACATCCCCAGTGGGAGACCCATCACTCAAATGGCACCCATGCCCCTTACCGAGCAATATCAGCACTTCCTGGCTGGAGGAGAGGGGCTCTCCATCCTTGTACCAGGTGAGCCGGGGAGGCGGGACAGCACTGGTGTCACAGTAGAGCACAGCTGGGTTGTTGAGTACAGCCTGCCGGTGCTCCACCACCTCGCCGTCCTCATCTTCTTCTCTGTAGAGGATCTCAAAGGCCTCGTTGGCACTCCCTGGCCTCTGGAACAGTGGTGGCACTGCAGGGACAGCAAGGTGCCGAGTGGCAGAGAAGAGGGACTTGCACCCCCTCAGGTGCAACCAGAGCACCTGACTCAGCCCTAGCAAGATACCATTTCCCAGCACACATGAGCCTTCTTCCTGTTTCTCTTGATCTTCTCCCACGAGAGACTCAATTAAGGAGCTCTCATGCCAAGGCACCCACTTCTCCAGGCACAGGATGGCCCCTTGGGACTGGTTTCCCACTTCAGCTCACCTTGGATGCGCACACTGAAGTCCTTGTCGTCTTCACCCACGGCATTGGTAGCCACACAGGTGTAGTGCCCTGAATCAGAGACACTGGCCGGTTTGATCTGAAGGATCTGCCCCTCTCTGAGGATCTGGAGGTGACCAGCACTTTCCAGGAGCTGGCGTAGGAATTCCAGGCCCAAAGGAGGATAGGGAAAAAAAAAAAAAAAAAAAAGTAAGGATTACACACTAGGTCTGAAGTATCCAGAACAGAAGCAGGACAGAGAACACCCAGGTATTATATTTCCCCACCTCCATCCATCCATCCACCTGGCAGTTTCCAGACCATGCAGCTCCTCCCTGCCCGTGGTCAGGGTCTCACCTGCCCATCCTTGTACCACTGGGTGGTTGGCTCGGGCACAGCCCAAGATTCGCACTCCAGCGTCACAGTGCTGTTGACCTTGGTTTTCACTTCTGTCACAGCAAATTCCCAGTAAGGGTCATCTTTGGTAATCCAAGGAGGAACTGGTAAGGAGACATGGCATGGCTGGAGTGAGAAAATAGTCCTCTATTGCCCTTGCTCTGCCCTAATCCAACAGACATGCTGACAGCCAGAGTGGCAGGCAGGCCTCGGAGAGCCACGGCCACCCCACACGGTACTGTCTGCCCTCCTCAGAGCTAGACCAGAGGGTTTTGAGGCCACATGCTGACAGAGATGGCACCAACTGCAAGAGGAAAGGTGGTAATGCAGTGGCCCAGGGTGAGACATCTGGAAGGGAAGAACAGGGCAGTGCCATGGGTTATAGCTGTAGGGCAACCACCAGACTCATGCAGGACACGGAAAGCTTACGGACCCAGGACCTTCACGGTGTAGTTCTTCACAGACTCCCCAGCCTCATTGGTCACGATGCAACTGTATGTGCCTGCATCCTCCTCGAGGGCATTCAGGATCTGCAGCCCATGGCCACCTGGGCAAAGGAGAAGCACCATGAGCCACCCTAGAACATGGGCAGTCCCAGAAGAGACTCCGTTCCCACCCCTGGCTCATGCAGTAGTCGCACGGAGCCATCAGGCACCAGTGCAGTACCAGGGAGCAAGTGAACGTTCCTAGAGACTTCGAGAGGAATCTCATCCTTGAGCCAGGTGATGTTGGGAGATGGGTAGGACAGAGCCTCGCAGATGAGGGAGATGGGGTTGTTGATGATCACAGTGACATCTTCTGTGCTGGTATCATGGGCCGCTCCAGGAAACATGGGGCTGACTGCAGGGGCAGACACTTGATGGTGTGGCAGAGCTTGCATAAACACCCCTTTAAGCATCCTGATCCTTTACCCCTCTATCAGAGAACATGACGAAAGCCCAGGGACTCTGAATTGACCACAGCATGCAAAATAGACAACACACCCAGCCTCAAGCCCAACTTCAGCAGATGTTGCCCTTGTTGCTGCCTTTCAGAAAGCCAGAGAAGGTAGCAGAATAGGTGCTCCCCTCTTGCTCCTCTGGTGGTGGCTTCCCACCAGCCACCCCCAGAGATGGGCCCTGGACTAGAGGTCCTCATGTCCCTTCACATGAATCTTATGAGGGTTTTGTAACTGGCCCAGGACCTCATTCACGCTGTAGGCTATGAGGCTTAGAAATCTTAACCACCTACCTGGGACAGCTCCTTAAAAAAGCCCTCTAGGTCCATGTCCCCTACTCACACCTGATATATTGCCTTTGCACAAAGGCATCTCATACCCAAAACATCCAACAGGTAGTGCTTGGTCTGATTTGCCACAGAATTGGATGCCACGCAGGAGTAGCGGCCAGCGTCAGAAAGGGCGCTCTGGGTGATGTGCAGTATGGAGCCATCGGGGGAGATGGAGTAGGTGTCTCCACTAGGCAGAGGTTGGCCGTCTTTCAGCCAGGTGATCTGCGGCTGGGGGTGGCCTGTGCAGAATGGAAAGCAGGTTTTCCAGCCATTGTGCCAAGTTTTTCCAAATCTGCACACAGGCTGGATGGGGGTCACTAAGCGGGTGCTCTGGAGCCCTTGTGAGAGGCAGGGAAAGAAGCTCAAATCCAGAATTACCACAGCCTGGATCTGGGTTTTAGAGGCTGATGGATGAGCCAGTGAGAGAAAACTGTCCTGAGTAGGAGGTGATTAATTACTCCCATAGCCAGAGGAGAAACCAGATTACAGGAATTTTAGCTTTATTTGGGAAAAATTGACGCTTATGTCCTTGAACAAGCTCCCAGTGTGGGCGCCCTCCCCTGCATCCAAAGCACTTCCCAGACTGCCCAATTGTAAAGCCAGAAACTATCTTAGCTATTTGTATGTCATCCTTTGGAACGGATGCTTAGGAGGCCTCTGAAAAGATGAATAGCTCCACACGGAGCACTGTCCATTTGCTCCACGCACCAAAGGGACTCGGCTCAGCTGCTTCCCAGCCCCTTCTCCAGCCTGTGCTTCTCTCCTGCTCCTCTGCACAATGCTCACCTGTAGCCAGGCAGGACCAGGTGACAGGGTGACCCTCGGGCACTTTGATGCTTTCTTCCTCATCCGCACTCTCAATGAGGGGAGGAACTAGGAACACAAGCCATCAGGAGCTGGCCAGCTTTGCCAGGTTGAACAAGAGCCTGTTAGCTCACATGCTAAGTCATGGAAGACTCGGGACTGCAGATCCCAACAACTTGACAGGGTAAACTTAGCCTGTCTGTGCAAGGGGGAAAGCTCTGATGCCCCATGACAAGTCCTGCAGCAGGCAGGGACCCTCTCCTTACCGAGAACCTCCACGTGGAAATCTCTCCTGGCCTCCCCAGCTGCATTACTGGCCAGACAGGAATAGAGGCCTCCGTCCTGGGCTCGCGTGCGAGTGAGCCTCAGCATCCAGCCCCCTGGAAACATGAGGAAAAGAGGTCTCAAGGCACCTGCTCGTCCTAGCAGTGCTCCTGCTAAACCCACACCTCACCTGAGAGCACACGTGTGTGCTCGCTGGGGATGACAGGAGAGCTCTTCCAGAACCAGGTGACGATGGGTGAGGGATTACCAGAGGCCTCACAGGTCAGTGTCAGGGCTCCATGAAGAGACACGCTGATGTTGGTTGTTGATCCTGATCCTTGAATGAACTCGGGAGGAACTAGAGGGACAGGAAAGGATGAACATCCATTTGCAAAGCAACATCCAAGAGAACAGAAGAGCAAGGCAGAGCAAGGGAAACTGAGAAACCTACTTGCTCCCATCCTCATGCTTGCATAGGTTGAGGAAAAAGCCCAGAAAGACCATTACCTTCTCTGGAGGCTACAGACTTCAGAGATGCTATGGGACAAGTGACCCACAGCAGGTAGGTACCATCTATCTGCCAGCCTAAACTTATAGATGTAACACAAACAGCCACATGCCTCGAGCAACCTCCCTCATTTTCAAGCTCAGGACCCATAAGATTTCCCCAAAGTCCTTGCAAAGTAGATGATTTTGTAAGTCACAAAGCAGTCCTCTCTGCTGACACCAGAAAAAAAAAAAAAAAAGGAAAAAAAAGGAAAACTCCTACCAGGGATGTGGAAGCTGCTTGTACCACTATGTTGCCTGGAGCTTCTCCCTGCCGTTCAAAGGCCCTCCTACCTATTAGCTTCTGTCTTGTGCTCCACCAGATGTGCAGAGGAGCATCCCAAGCCTTGCCCAGCCTACCTGCTCAGCACAGCCCAGCAGCGAGCGCTGCCTGCATCCTTACCGAGCACGGCCACGTCAAACTCCCTCTCATCCTGCCCCACCGCGTTCATGGCCAGGCACGTATAGCGTCCTGCGTGGGTGACCTCTGCCTTGGGGATGCGCAGCCGCTTTCCCTGCTTGGTAAGGAGAAGCCCGTCCCTGTTTGCCACAGGCTGCCCGTCTTTCACCCACGTCACCGTGGGCGGTGGCGTTCCCACGGCCTCGCACTCCAGAACCGTCTCGCCAGCCTTGACCACAGAAACCTTCCTCAGGGCCTTGCTGCTGCCTTGGATCCTTGGCAGCGCTGTGGGCAAGAGGCAAGGTTGATAGGACCCCTCTAGGTCTTACATGAGCAGAAATAAGAGTGACATCAGTCTGTGCAGCAGCTAAGCAAAGCAAATTCAAGTGGGGGCAGCCAGTGCAATTGGGCTGCTGGAGCAAACACAAGCTGAGGGCATCTTGGAGCCAAGAAGGAAGCCGGAAGGGCAGAGACAACCCAGTTATCATCATGCTTTCCAGGAAGACCAAGGCAGCAGACAGCAGCCGTGAACTTTTAGGTCCAGCAGGACCCTGGATTGGGACAGATCATGGCTTGCTCAAACACACATCTTCAGAGACAGATGCCAGAGCTGGGTGTGCAGGAGCATGTGCAGCTGCTGATGCAGAGCCGTGCGCCTCCAGCACGTTCCCCCACTCACCATAGACCCGCAGGCGATAGTCCTTGCTGCTGCGGCCTGCAGCATTGCGGCACTCGCACGTGTACGAGCCCTTGTCGGCCAGCCGCACCTTCTCTATGTAGAGCATCCTCCCTCCTGCAGACACCAGCTCCGCGCTGCCCGGCTCGGTGGAGAGGGGCTCACCTGCGCGAGCACGGAGAACACCGGCCTTCTCTGAGCCTCCCAACCGGAGCAGATCCCTACCTAGGTCTCCAAGGGTTAGTCAGATATTTCTCATAGTAAAGAAACAGGCTTAGAACCAACCCTGAAATCAAGCCCAGCCTTTACTAGCACAAGAGCTCCCATTCCACACACTGAGCATTGCCCATCCGTGGGTGGGCCAACACCTGGGTAGTGCGGGATGAAAACAGGGAAAACACCTACCGTCCTTCCACCAGGAGAGGGTGGGGAAGGGGATCCCGTGGCACTCGCAGGCCAGCTGAACAACCTGCCCTTCCAGCACCGACACGGTGGCCGGCTCCGGCGAGGCGAATGATGGGGGCACTGCGCAAGAGAAGAGCAGCTCCCTGACCATGGGGCCGCAGGGATGGTGGAGCTGAGCGGGACACCGGGGCAGTGGGATGCGCTCGGGGCTCCTCTGGGTTTCACGCAAGCAAAGCTCCACCACACCGTGCAGCTCCATGTGAAAATAATAATATTGACTTTCCAGTTATTAAATATGAGAGATACTTTTGATTGCATGTGGCCTAGAGCACAGGACAAGTGAGCACCCCGCGCCAGCCACGCAGGCAGGTTGGCCAGACGCAGCCTTATTAGGCAGCGCTGCTCACTGCGGAGGTTAGCTAACACTTTCCATTATCTGCCCTTGTTTTCAGTTGCTTATAATTACAGCTGGATGGAAAATGGTAACTCCTTCCCAGGAGGGATATTAGCTTCTGAAAGAAAAAACCCAACACCCAGAAACGCCCGAAAAACAAAAAACAGCAGAACCCAAACAATCCACCCGAGCCAGGATACCAGGCCAAACATGCAAACGTTTCCCTGGGAAGGGATTTTAGGAACAAACGCGTATGGGGAGAACTGGATTTTTCCCATTCCCTGGCTACCTGCCTGCAGGACTTCCACCAACTGGCCTCAAGTATTCCTGAGACAAGCCAGGCTCTGCCTTGCTCTCCAGCGAGCTGAGGACGTGCTGCACCGGCCACGAAGCTGCAAGGCTCTTTGCAGCAAGAGTGGCTGGTGCCCATCTTGGCAGCAGCCTGGGAACCACCGTGAGCATCTTCCCGACTTGGGCAGCGGGAGGGAAGGGAGCCCATGCTTCCAGCACCCTCTGTTTTGTGCAAGTGCAAAGAAGCGACAGAGAAGTTCTGGCAATGGCAAGGAAATATTTTCATTCTCTTGCCAAATTTTAGGAAGAAAGCTCTTCATCATCACTGAAGCCTCCCCAAAGGAAGACTCATGCACACATTGGCTTTTTTCCCTCCGACACTTATTCTCGTAGGGGATTCCCTACCAGCTCCAGCTGCATCATTTTGCAGAGCATTAACCTTTGTACTTAATATTTTCCAAGCCAGTGAACTACCTTAGCTGCATATTACACATAAATATATATGCATGCATCCATGGGAGTGTGTGCATTGGATTTTCCCCCAATGGGATATTCCAACCGAAACAGCCCTTACCCCACACGTCGAGGTTGTAGTGATTCTCCGAGCGGCCCAGGGGGCTGGACACCTCACACGTGTACCTGCCTGCATCCTGCACGTCAGCGCTCCTGATCTGCAGCAACAAACAACGCTGCAGCACTCGCCCAGGGCTGGACAGGGCTGTGAACAGCCCTTGCAGCTATGGCCAGGAGGAAGGGAGGACCCCCCGGCCCCATCTGCCACCTGCTGAGGATGGGCACGAAGGGGTGAGGGTCTTTGCAGCCCTCCCATCATCTGCAGGGCTCTGAGGCATCACCTGGAGGGTAGTTCCCTCTGCAGAGGGTTGTGCTCCTGCCCCCGGTGTGAGCAAGCGCCCGTCTTTCAGCCAACGGGGCTCCCCAGCTGGCAGCCCCGGGGCCAGGCACTCCAGGGCCACCGACTGGTTGACGAGGATGGAGACGTTCTGCTCTTCGCCCAGTGTGCTGGATGGCACTGGAAAACCACCATCCCCAGAGAAGGTCACCAGGGAAACACCTTCCCAAAGCCAGCCGCTCAGCTGAGTTGTCCCAGCCACACCGCCTAATCCCAAAGCCTTCCCAAACAGCTGACACTTCTGTGCGCTGCCACGGGACAGCAGAGCAGCCCTGTCCCCCCCACCCTGCCTAGGGGACCCTGCAGCAGCCGTGGGTGTCACCCCTGAGCGTCATGGCCCCAGGAGGGACTGTGGCCTTGGCTGTGCCCTTGGGCACCCAGGGAGGGCTGTCCTTACACCGCACCCCGAGCGCGGCCTCCCGCCGGTCCTCCCCAACGACACTGCTGGCCACGCACACGTATGTCCCCGGGTGCAGGAGCCGAGCAGCCCGCAGGGACAGCGTGCGCCCGCCGGAGATGACCTGTGCTCCCCCCAGGCCCAGAAACAGAGATACAGCCTCGATGAGCAGCACAGCAGGAGCGAGCAGCCAGCAGCGCTGCACACCAGCACGCAAGGATGGGGAGGTAGATTGGAACGAGTCGGCCCAGAGAGCATCCCTGCCGCATTCAGAGGCCTCCCTGTCCTCCCAGCCCAGGCACAGAGCTCATGCTTCCCATGCAGAGTCTAGAATCAAGCTCCAGGACAATTCCAGACAGCACTGTGTACACCCAAACCCAGCAATGTGTTTTTCTGAAGTCAGAGTGGGGAAGCAGAACATCTTTGTGCGGCCCAGAGGGACGTCCTGGCAAGCAGCTCCATTCTGGGGAGTCTCACCTGTGGCCCGTCTGCCACCACAGCGGGCACGGGATTGCCATCCTTCAGCCACAACAGGACTGGTGCGGGGACCCCGGTGGCGTCACATGCCAGCTCCACTGGCTCATTCATCACCACTGTCACAGAGCTGGGGCCAGACGTGATGCGCGGGGGCACTGGAGAGGCCAAAGCAAGCACTGAGTGCCCGCAGAGACACCGGGATGCAAGAGGAAGGGATGGTGGCTGAGGCAGAGCATGCAGCAAGAGTGTCACGATGTGGACCAGCCTTTAGGGTCCAGCTTCTCTGGGATATTAGCTAGGATGGACATGGAGGGGAAGTGGGGCTCCAGGGGCTGGAACCCCCTGAGTTGGCACTGCCTTCTGCAGTCAAGACAGAGAAGAGAGTCTCCACTAAAACCATCTTCCATGGATAGCGGAGCATGCGCCCACAGGCTGGGATGGACCCACTGGCCCAGCACACACACAAGGGGCTACCAAGGGCAAAATCCATCAGACACCTGCAGTCCTGATCCCTCTTGCTGTGGGCTCACCCGTCACCTGCAGGCTGTACCAGAGCTCAGCAACACCAGCCGCGTTGGAGGCCACACAGCGGTAGCTCCCGGAGTCCAAGGTCTGGGCACGCTGGATCTCCAGGTGCTTCCCATCTCTGTACAGCACCAGGCCTGGCCTGGCTGAGAGTTGCTCAGGTCCCTTGTACCAGGCTATGTCTGGAAGGGAAGAGCTGTGCTAGAAGGAGCGGCGCTGCCTTCCCTTGGCACTCCCAGGGCAGCGAGGCAGCCACATGTCCCAGGGGATGTGGGGGCAGGTGGCCTTCATTATTTAGGGACACATTGTGCCTCAGGGCTTCCCCTTTGTCCTCATCCCCCTTGTATTCCAACATGGTACACAGGAGATGCAGGTTACAGATCCTGGAAAGCTCTGGGGTTCCTGCTCTACCCTCCCTCCATCAAATCTTGGGCTGTAACATTGAATGTCCCAGATGGCACCCTCTATTTCCTAACAAATATTCAGTATCTCACCCTGCAGTCACCAAGGTGTCTGCGAACAGCCAAGGTGCCTGGAATAGGGATGCTGACTTGCCAGGGGAAAGAGGAGGCCAGGGAGAACCGAGGTGCAAGAAAGAAAGGAGAAGGCCGAGTTACCTGGAGGTGGCACCCCGGAGGCCAGACACCGCAGGGACGCCGTGGTGTTCTCCAGGACGGTCACGTTCACCTCACCTGGCTCGATGCTTGGAGGCACTGCAATGCAGCACCCACGGTCATCACCTCCGTAGGACAGGCCATGTCCATGGAGGGCTTGTGACTTGCCCTTCATGTCAATAGGGCAACAGTCCCCACGGAAGAGATTTTTCATCCTGGCAGGATCTCAGCTGCCTGTTTCTCACCCAGGACCTTCAGCACCACATCCTGCTTGTCCTCCCCGACAGAGTTCACTGCCACACAGGAATAGACTTCTTCATCCATCAAGTCAGCCTTCTCAATCTGGAGCAGAAGAGGACATTCCTGGTTAGCATCCATCACACACAACCCCAAGCCATCCCTGCTCTGCCTAAAACAGGACGAGGGGGCCTTTGCTCCCTCCCTCGCTTCACCAGCTCCGCCAGAACCTGCCACGGAAGAACCCATGGTGCACAGCTCTGCATTAGGGCTCGTGTATTTGATCTCCATCCCTACCTGGTAGAGGTGGCCCGTGGCTGGCAAGAGCAGCCCATCCTTCCACCAGCTGAGCCGTGGAGGTGGAGTGCCAGTGGCCAAGCACCGAAGAGTCACAGGCTCCCGGAGGGCCACGCTGAGGCCTTGTCCCTCCACAATGCTGACTGATGGGCGCTCTAGCCAGGGGAGGGAAAAGAACCAAAGAACCAAAGATCTCTTCTATTGGAAAATATCCAAGAGCACTTTCCAATCCTTCTCCCCATCCACCTCTTGGAGCAGCCATGTCCTCCCCAGGGTGTGGGAAGGGCAGCAGGTCTCTCCGCAGACGCTCTGCTCACCTTGCACCAATACCCACACCTCTGTCTGGGCTCCACCTGCCTCGCTGCTGCCCTGGCAGATGTAGAGCCCCTCGTCACTGCGCCCTGCACGGGGGATCACCAGCGTCCTGCCGTCCTCCGACACCACCACCCCATCCAGTTCGTCCAGCGGGTGGCCGTCCTTCAGCCACCTGGAGCAAAGGGAGGAGGAAGCAAATCCTCAGCCCACTCCCTGTTTCTGCTCAAAGAGAGACCTGGAGTACAGCAGGATTCTTCCTTTTACAAAGTCAGGGCTTTTCTCTGGCTGTTTTTGATGGATACTTTCCTCTCTTTACCAGATACATCCCCTGTGGGGTGGGGAGGAAGTAATGGGAGATATCTCCCAAAGGAGAAGCTCTGTGCTTGTGCCCAAGGGACACCCTAAGCCAGAGGCCCCCATCACTCATCAAGACCCCCTTCCCAATTATGCTGCATTTTCGCACACCCAGCTGTAGGGCATCTCCAGGACCTTGCAGAGCCCCCAAAGGGAGCTCGTGGAGATGGAGCAAGCCCGGCGGCGGCTCCGTGGTACTCACTGGAGCTGGGGCGCAGGGAAGCCCGTGGCGTGGCAGTGCATCTGAAGGGAGTCGTTGGCAGTCACCGTCACGTGGCTCTCCCCATCGCTGATCAGCACCTGTGGGGGAACTGGGGCAAAAAGGAAGAGGACAACGGGCTAAAGACCCATTGCCAGCCTCAGCCATGGCAAGGGAGAAGATGCTGCTCTGGGAGAGCAGGAGGAGCTGGGGATTGGGAGGGTACAGTAGTGCCCACAGCAGTTTGGGACTGAATATGGCCTTTCTCGAAGAAACTGAAGTTTTAGGCCACCACCTTTGCCCCCTCCCTCCCTCTCTATATGATACAGTTAGGAGGGCAGATGTGGGTGCTCCCTAAATCACTGTGCTCCCTGCTCCAGCCTCAGCTGCAAGGGCCCGGCCGCTGTACCGTGAACCACCACCGTGTGCTGGGCCACGCTCTGGCCGGCTGGGCTGCTGGCTACGCAGGTGTAGGTTCCCGCTGAGCTCCGCGATGCCGCTTCGGCTCTCAGGCTCCAGGAGCAGCATCCCCGCGTCACCGAGCAGCGGGAGCCCGTCCTTGAGCCACGTCAGGGCGGGCGGCGGGTGGCCGCTGGCTGAGCACTGGAGCTCCAAGGGCTGTCCCACCACCACCACGTGGTCCTCATCGGCGACGCTGTCGATACGCGGTGGCACTGCGGGGGCAGAGGGGACAGAGGGAGCACAAGTGCAAAACGCACAATGCAGGTGCTGTGGCTTTGACTCGAAAGCTTGTGGTAGGGGAAGGAAGGCATTCTGGGGGGCCTGGGGTCCTCATGCTGTCTCCAGGTGGGTCAGGCTTCATCAGGAGACACCAACCCACAAGGCTCAGCCCACAGGGAGATGCCAAAATGGCTCAGCAGAAACCCAGAGCCACAGGTGAACCCAAGCAGACAAGGGCAGAGAGTTCACCCCAGGAAATTAGCTCCCAAAGCCAGCTCATTTCCCAGAAATGTGATATCATGCAGTGCATTTGCCATTTCACAGAGCATCCCAGAAACAGTAACACGCATTTGCATCTGCACTGACACAGCTGAATATTGCCAGCAGCCCCCGCAAAGCTGCTGGGAGGGGAAACCATCAGAGAAATGGCCTTTCTGGAAAAGCCAAGCACAAACCAACGAGCCATGGATGCTTCCTAGCTGGCTGGAAAGGGCAGCTCCTCTGCCTTCCTCTTTGCGAGCATATCAAGAAAGAAGACCAACACTTACCATAAACTTCAAGCCTCACAGCCCTCTCCACCGTGCCCACAGGGTTGGTGGCCCGGCACGTGTACAGCCCTGCATCCGTCACCTGGGCCATGTTCAGCTGTAGGATGTGTCCCCCTCTCACATAGGTGGTCTTGGCACTGGATATAAGGGGCCGCCTGTCTTTGAACCACGCGATGCCGGGTGCTGGCGAGCCCTGTGCCTCGCAGGGCAGCTCACGGGAGTGATTCAGCAGCACCGTCACCACCGCCGTCCCACCGGAGTCCAGGATGGAGGGGGGAGCTGGCCACACCAATGGAGGAGATGTGACATGGGGAGATGCTGCAGGATATTTACCTGCTTCCCAAAGCCTCCGAGTTAACTCAGAACACCTGTATGACCCCATGCATTGAAGCCTACTGCCCCAAGAGCTACCTTGATTTTACCACAGCAGGGGATTTGGTGTAGGATATGGGGGCAAAATCTCCCTACAAGGACAGGTATCCTGGCTGCTTTTACAGTGACCTGGCCACCTCAGCCCAGACACTCCCAATATTGGGACAATATCCCATTTTGGTACAGTGGTAAAATCCCTCCCTACCTTCTCCAGAGTCAGGAGGATGGATGAAAGTTTTGGGGAGTTGGACAAGGAGGAGGATTATCAGGGCAAGGCCAGCCAGGGACTTACTGAGTACAAGCAGCTGGAAAGCCTTGCTGTGCTGGCCAGCCTGGTTGAACGCTAAACACTGATACCTCCCTTGGTGGCTGGGCTGGCTGTCCTCGATCCTCAACACCTGATCCTCCTCCAGGAGTTGGACACGAGAGTCCGCTGTGGACAGAGGCCTCAAGAGGGAGAACAACGCAGAAACGAAGTCAGACCAAGCATGCAGCAAGGGATGGAGACCACAAGGTGTGCAGCAACGGTACAAGGTGTTGGGATGGTCCTTGGTGACCTCACTTACTGTTCGTCCTTCAGCCACTCCACCTGCGGCGGGGGTACCCCCAAGGTCCGGCACTCCAGCACTGCCTCGGAGCCCAGCAACACGGAGACGTTGTGAGGCCATCCGGGCCCTGGTGCTGTTGGAGGCACTGGGGGGCAGGAACGAAGAACAGAGGAGACTGAGCAGGAGCTCAGAAAGCTCTAGAGAGCACTGGCACTACAAGTCACCAAGACTGGGGTCAGTGTGGTGGGAGGTATGGGACACCCTACGTTTTGCCCTCCTCACTTCTGTGCTGTTATGGTAGCAGAACGTGCACAGAAGGCAATAGTAGGTTCAGTGCAACCACTCAAGGCCTC